CACACACCTTTATACATCTATCATCGTCTACTCTGCAAGCCAAATGGATCGGTGTGTCACCACAGCCATCGCGTGCAAAGAAAAAAGAACAAGGATAACGGTTGACTGTGGAAGAGAATTTCTAGAATAAAGTAAAGACTTTCAAGTTTACCAGGAATGGTAATAAAGTCAAAAAGCATTCGATTACTAAATTGTTATTTTATTTAAAAGACTAAAAATGTACTTTTTCCTCAGCAAACAGATATGACACGAGCAGTTTAATACTGCGCAAACTATGATAACGCGCAGCTGTATGTAAAGCAGATCGTCCCTTCGAAGTCATTCGATGAGGATTGGCCCCTAACCTTAAATATTTTCGAATTGAAGAAAAGAAAACAGTGTGAGAAAGAGTCCCTAAAAAAACTAATGCCACTTACCTAAGCAGAACTTTCACACAGTTTTCGTGATCGTTGACTAGGGCGCAGTGTAGCATCGTTACTCCGTCCGGTGTTGACTCATCAGCGGGAACTCCTAAGACGTCAATGCATCTTTCTAAGTAAAAAGCATCTCCTGTGCTGGCAGCACTTAATGCCCCTTCGAAATACTACAACAGGCAGAAAAGTATAGTCAGAGGAACAGAAAAGATTCAATTTTATCCCATATAGAGTGCTTTTGAAGTTAAAAGTGAAGAAGAAAATGGATAGTCAAAAAAAATTAAATGAGAAGTAATAAGACTAATTCATCCTGTGCAAGTTGTTCAAACCAATGACAAGAGAATAAAATTCCAGCTGTAAGCGGAAATCTGATGAGAAGTTTAACCGACTTATTACTCGTTGAAAAAATTTCTGCTATTAATACGAACCACGTAATTAACATCGAAATTCCCTTTGCCAGTTCTGTCGACAACAAAGGTTTCCTGACGTTTGAGTTCTTCACGCAACGAACCAAATTTCTTTTTGTCGAGTTCAGCGGCCTAGAGGCATGGTGGTTACAAAAAGTTACAAAAATCTAACAATCTAACTACTGTCTATATGAAAAGCATAAGAAATTATTAGCTCAAAATCCAACATTTCCTTCTTCCGATGATGACGTCATAGAATCACTCATTCCGTCGACTCTCCATATCGGTAGATTACTAGAAGAAAATTAAATATTGTAAAAGAAAACAAACAAGCTGACAAACGGTAAAGCACGGTGGTATGCTCACCTAAATTCATTGAGAGTTTTAATGCCAACCAACTGAACCTCAACGTCAGATAATGTACTGGCAACACCAGGGGATTTTGTTGAAGTGCTCGAAAAACTGAAGTCTTCTTTCTCCCTTATGGCGAGTGAGTTACGTTCGTTACGATGCCAACTGCCAAACTTTGAACGAAGACTTTCCAAAAGCATATTCTTTACTTTTTTCT